CTGCAGGTCATGGAGGCGTGTCAGGCCGGCGCTGCAGACGGGGTCAAAGGTCGCGCTGAGAAACTGCTGAACGTCTTCCAGAGCGACCTGTTCCAGGCTCTGCTGGGTAACACACACACACACACACACACACACACACACACACACACACACACACACACACACACGCACACACAAACAACACACACACACACACACACACACACACCACACACGCACACACACGCACACACACACACACACACACACCACACACACACACACACACACATAATTCAGCAACATTAAAAGCGTTAAATTACTAAATACAAATGTGTAGGTGTGAGCCACTTCACTCAGTGTGTGTGTGTGTGTGTGTGTGTGTGTGTGTGTGTGTGTGTGTGTTTGTGTGTGCGTCTGCAGACATCCAGGAGTTCTACGAGCTGACGGTGTGTGAGAACCAGACGTCGGGGAGCCGGCCACACACACCTGCACAGGTACAGAAACCCCCCCCCCCCTCTTTAATCCACATGGCAACACCCGTCTCTGTTACCTAGCAACAGCTGCTGCAGCATCACCGGGGCAACAGGAGCCCATCCCCCCCAAAAAACACATCTTGACCCCGACAGACGACGGCCCCGAGAGTTGAAGACGGAGAGAAGATGAGCGAGAGACGCACGAGAGAGAGTAGTTGAGAGAGGAGAGAGGAGAGAGGAGAGAGATGAGAGAGAGAGAGAGGAGAGAGATGAGAGAAGCGAGAAGGCGAGGGAGAGAGATGGAGAGAGAAGATGAGGAGGGGGTGGGGAAGTTGAGAGAGAGAGAGAAAGGGGGGTGCGAGAGGAGAGTGCGACCAAGAGAGATGAGTGGGTGTGTGTGAAGAATGTGTGTGTGTGTGTGTTGTGTGTTGTATGGACTTGCCTCTGCATTTGTCACCACCAAGGTGAGAGCAGAACCGCCCGCACGCATCCCGCTAAACTACACACACACCACTGCATCAGGACTACACACACACACCCACCCAAACCACACACACCGGACCCCCTTCATCAGGAACACCACACACGCATGTTTTATGAGGAACACGTGGAGCTCCCTGTGGTAAACCATGAAGCCGGGTTTCATTGCTCGCTGTCCGTCATGTTTTTATTCACTGTGTCTCCGTGTGTGTGTGTGTGTGTGTGTGTGTGTGTGTGAGTGTGTGTGTTAGCATGGCCACATTAGCATGTATGTTAGCTCAGGCTAGCTCCAGCCTGTAGCTAGCTGTTAGCATGGCCGTAGCTTCTCTAAATGTGTTTTTCAGACAAGGTGTTTTATTTTATTTAAGCGATAAATAAATGTTCAGATTTATTTCAGAGCAACAGGTCTGAGCCTCCGGAGAAATGCACCGTCACCCTGTTGCTCAGAGCGTCTTCATTTAACATTCACTGTCTGGAGATTTAGCACACATTCACTGGGTTTAGCTCTGGTTGGGTCTCACTAGGTTTAGCTCAGGTTGGGTCTCACTGGGTTTAGCTCAGGTTGGGTCTCACTGGGTTTAGCTCTGGTTGGGTCTCACTGGGTCTAGCTCAGGTTGGGTCTGAATGGGTTTAGCTCTGGTTGGGTCTCACTGGGTCTAGCTCAGGTTGGGTCTCACTGGGTTTAGCTCTGGTTGGGTCTCACTGGGTCTAGCTCAGGTTGGGTCTGAATGGGTTTAGCTCTGGTTGGGTCTCACTGGGTCTAGCTCAGGTTGGGTCTCACTGGGTTTAGCACTGGTTGGGTCTGACTGGGTTTAGCTCTGGTTGGGTCTCACTGGGTTTAGCTCAGGTTGGGTCTCACTGGGTTTAGCTCAGGTTGGGTCTCACTGGGTTTAGCTCTGGTTGGGTCTCACTGGGTCTAGCTCAGGTTGGGTCTGAATGGGTTTAGCTCTGGTTGGGTCTCACTGGGTCTAGCTCAGGTTGGGTCTCACTGGGTTTAGCTCTGGCTGGGTCTCACTGGGTCTAGCTCAGGTTGGGTCTGAATGGGTTTAGCTCTGGTTGGGTCTCACTGGGTCTAGCTCAGGTTGGGTCTCACTGGGTTTAGCACTGGTTGGGTCTGACTGGGTTTAGCTCTGGTTGGGTCTCACTGGGTTTAGCTCAGGTTGGGTCTCACTGGGTTTAGCTCAGGTTGGGTCTCACTGGGTTTAGCTCTGGTTGGGTCTGACTGGGTTTAGCTCTGGTTGGGTCTGACTGAGTTTAGCTCAGGTTGGGTCTCACTGGGTTTAGCTCAAGTTGGGTCTCACTGGGTTTAGCTCTGGTTGGGTCTGACTGGGTTTAGCTCTGGTTGGGTCTCACTGGGTTTAGCTCTGGTTGGGTCTGACTTGGTTTAGCTCTGGTTGGGTCTGACTGGGTTTAGCTCTGGTTGGGTCTGACTGAGTTTAGCTCTGGTTGGGTCTGACTGAGTTTAGCTCTGGTTGGGTCTGACTGAGTTTAGCTCAGGTTGGGTCTGACTGGGTTTAGCTCTGGTTGGGTCTGACTGAGTTTAGCTCTGGTTGGGTCTGACTGAGTTTAGCTCAGGTTGGGTCTCACTGGGTTTAGCTCAGGTTGGGTCTCACTGGGTTTAGCTCAGGTTGGGTCTCACTGGGTTTAGCTCTGGTTGGGTCTGACTGGGTTTAGCTCTGGTTGGGTCTGACTTGGTTTAGCTCTGGTTGGGTCTGACTGGGTTTAGCTCTGGTTGGGTCTGACTGAGTTTAGCCCTGGTTGGGTCTGACTGAGTTTAGCTCAGGTTGGGTCTGACTGGGTTTAGCTCTGGTTGGGTCTGACTGGGTTTAGCTCTGGTTGGGTCTGACTGAGTTTAGCTCAGGTTGGGTCTGACTGGGTTTAGCTCTGGTTGGGTCTGACTGGGTTTAGCTCTGGTTGGGTCTGACTGGGTTTAGCTCTGGTTGGGTCTCACTGGGTTTAGCTCTGGTTGGGTCTGACTGGGTTTAGCTCTGGTTGGGTCTGACTGGGTTTAGCTCAGGTTGGGTCTCACTGGGTTTAGCTCTGGTTGGGTCTGACTGGGTTTTAGCTCTGGTTGGGTCTGACTGGGTTTAGCTCAGGTTGGGTCTGACTGGGTTTAGCTCTGGTTGGGTCTGACTGGGTTTAGCTCTGGTTGGGTCTCACTGGGTTTAGCTCTGGTCTGACTGGGTTTAGCTCTGGTTGGGTCTGACTGGGTTTAGCTCTGGTTGGGTCTGACTGGGTTTAGCTCAGGTTGGGTCTCACTGGGTTTAGCTCTGGTTGGGTCTGACTGGGTTTAGCTCTGGTTGGGTCTGACTGGGTTTAGCTCTGGTTGGGTCTCACTGGGTTTAGCTCTGGTCTGACTGGGTTTAGCTCTGGTTGGGTCTGACTGGGTTTAGTTCTGGTTGGGTCTGACTTGGTTTAGCTCTGGTTGGGTCTCACTGGGTTTAGCTCAGGTTGGGTCTGACTGGGTTTAGCTCTGGTTGGGTCTCACTGAGTTTAGCTCTGGTTGGGTCTGACTTGGTTTAGCTCTGGTTGGGTCTCACTGAGTTTAGCTCTGGTTGGGTCTGACTTGGTTTAGCTCTGGTTGGGTCTCACTGAGTTTAGCTCTGGTTGGGTCTGACTTGGTTTAGCTCTGGTTGGGTCTCACTGGGTTTAGCTCAGGTTGGGTCTGACTTGGTTTAGCTCTGGTTGGGTCTGACTGGGTTTAGCTCTGGTTGGGTCTGACTGGGTTTAGCTCTGGTTGGGTCTGACTGGGTTTAGCTCTGGTTGGGTCTGACTGGGTTTAGCTCTGGTTGGGTCTCACTGGGTTTAGCTCTGGTTGGGTCTGACTGGGTTTAGCTCAGGTTGGGTCTCACTGGGTTTAGCTCTGGTTGGGTCTGACTGGGTTTAGCTCAGGTTGGGTCTCACTGGGTTTAGCTCTGGTTGGGTCTGACTGGGTTTAGCACTGGTTGGGTCTGACTGGGTTTAGCTCTGGTTGGGTCTGACTGGGTTTAGCTCAGGTTGGGTCTCACTGGGTTTAGCTCTGGTTGGGTCTGACTGGGTTTAGCACTGGTTGGGTCTGACTGGGTTTAGCTCTGGTTGGGTCTGACTGGGTTTAGCTCTGGTTGGGTCTCACTGGGTTTAGCTCTGGTTGGGTCTCACTGGGTTTAGCTCTGGTTGGGTCTCACTGGGTTTAGCTCAGGTTGGGTCTCACTGGGTTTAGCTCTGGTTGGGTCTGACTGGGTTTAGCTCTGGTTGGGTCTGACTGGGTTTAGCTCTGGTTGGGTCTCACTGGGTTTAGCTCTGGTTGGGTCTGACTGAGTTTAGCTCAGGTTGGGTCTGACTGGGTTTAGCTCTGGTTGGGTCTGACTGGGTTTAGCTCTGGTCTGACTGGGTTTAGCTCTGGTTGGGTCTGACTGGGTTTAGCTCTGGTTGGGTCTGACTGGGTTTAGCTCTGGTTGGGTCTCACTGGGTTTAGCTCTGGTTGGGTCTGACTGGGTTTAGCTCTGGTCTGACTGGGTTTAGCTCAGGTTGGGTCTCACTGGGTTTAGCTCTGGTTGGGTCTCACTGGGTTTAGCTCTGGTCTGACTGGGTTTAGCTCTGGTTGGGTCTCACTGGGTTTAGCTCTGGTTGGGTCTCACTGGGTTTAGCTCTGGTTTGGTCTCACTGGGTTTAGCTCTGGTTGGGTCTCACTGGGTTTAGCTCTGGTTGGGTCTCACTGGGTTTAGCTCTGGTCTGACTGGGTTTAGCTCTGGTTGGGTCTCACTGGGTTTAGCTCAGGTTGGGTCTGACTGGGTTTAGCTCTGGTTGGGTCTGACTGAGTTTAGCTCTGGTTGGGTCTGACTGGGTTTAGCTCTGGTTGGGTCTGACTGGGTTTAGCTCTGGTTGGGTCTGACTGGGTTTAGCTCTGGTTGGGTCTCACTGGGTTTAGCTCAGGTTGGGTCTGACTGGGTTTAGCTCTGGTTGGGTCTTTACACACATCTGCTAACATGCTACTGCTGACATGCTAACATGTGTATTCAATGGTGCTAACATGCTAACGTGCTAACGTGTTAACGTGCTAACAGCCAATGTGCTGTGTCTCTGCAGAAGTACCGTTACCAGGACGATGAGACTTTGCCTGCCGATCCCAGCCCCGGTCACATGACCCACGGACGCAGCACCGAGCTGAGCCACACACACCTGGACGGATACACACACCCTGCAGCTCTCACCGTACGTACACACACACACACACACACACACACACACACACACACACACACACACACACACACACACACACTCTTAAAAGTTCAAGGGGTCCTTGAATAGGTAATTGTGGTTTGTCAGAGAAACAGCCTCACCAGAGTATTTCAGATTTGAAATATGATTGATTAGATGATGTGTGTGTGTGTGTGTGTGTGTGTGTGTGTGTGTGTGTGTGTGAGAGTGTGTGTCTGTGTGTGTGTGTGTGTGTGTGTGTGTTGTGTGTGTGTGAGTGTGTGTGTGTGTGTGAGTGTGTGTGTGTGTGTGTGTGTGTGTGAGCCCTGCAGACACACAGGAAGAACATAATGAAGCAGAAGGACATGATAGCAGAACTGTAGAGGCTGATCTAGGTCGACATCAGAACTGTGAGGGTTTCAGACTCATCAGGACCAGGATCAGGACCAGGATCAGGATCAGGATCAGAATCAGGATCAGGATCAGGATCAGAATCAGGATCAGGATCAGGATCAGGATCAGGATCAGGATCAGAATCAGAATCAGGATCAGGATCAGAATCAGGATCAGAATCAGGATCAACATCTGGATCAGGATCAGAATCAGGATCAGAATCAGGATCAGGATCAGGATCAGAATCAGGATCAACATCTGGATCAGGATCCTAGAGGAAGTTTGATAAGTGTTGAAGATCCTTGAGGTCCTTGAGGAAGCTGCATACGTTGATAAGTTGTTCCAGAGGTTAAACATGTCCTTGAGAAAGTTTGAGAGGTCCTTGAGGTCCTGATAATTGTTTGAGAGGTCTTTAGGAAGTTGAGGAAGTTTGAAAGGTCTTTGGGAAGTTGGAAAGGACCTGTCAAGGTTTTCAAGGTCTTGGAGGTCCTGATAATTGTTTGAGAGGCCCTTGAAGAAGGTCAGGAGGTTTGAGAGACTCTGGAAGAAGGTCAGGAGGTTTGAGAGACTCTGGAAGAAGGTCAGGAGGTTTGAGAGACTCTGGAAGAAGGTCAGGAGGTTTGAGAGACTCTGGAAGAAGGTCAGGAGGTTTGAGAGACTCTGGAAGAAGGTCAGGAGGTTTGAGAGACTCTGGAAGAAGGTCAGGAGGTTTGACAGACTCCGGAAGAAGGTCAGGAGGTTTGAGAGACTCCGGAAGAAGGTCAGGAGGTTTGAGAGACTCCGGAAGAAGGTCAGGAGGTTTGAGAGACTCCGGAAGAAGGTCAGGAGGTTTGAGAGACTCCGGAAGAAGGTCAGGAGGTTTGAGAGACCCTGGAAGAAGGTCAGGAGGTTTGAGAGACCCTGGAAGAAGGTCAGGAGGTTTGAGAGACCCTGGAAGAAGGTCAGGAGGTTTGAGAGACTCTGGAAGAAGGTCAGGAGGTTTGAGAGACTCTGGAAGAAGGTCAGGAGGTTTGAGAGGTATTTAGGAAGTTGAGGAAGTTTGAGAGGTCTTTGGGAAGTTGGAGAGGACCTGTCAAGGGTTTCAAGGTCTTTGAGGTCCTGATAATTGTTTGAGAGGCCTTTGAATAAGGTCAGGAGGTTTGAGAGGTCTTTAAGAAGTTGAGGAAGTTTGAGAGACCCTTGAAGAAGGTCAGGAGGTTTGAGAGGTCTTTGGGAAGTTGGAGAGGACCTGTCAAGGTTTTCAAGGTCTTGGAGGTCCTGATAATTGTTTGAGAGGCCCTTGAAGAAGGTCAGGAGGTTTGAGAGACTCTGGAAGAAGGTCAGGAGGTTTGAGAGACTCTGGAAGAAGGTCAGGAGGTTTGAGAGACTCTGGAAGAAGGTCAGGAGGTTTGAGAGACTCTGGAAGAAGGTCAGGAGGTTTGAGAGACTCTGGAAGAAGGTCGGGAGGTTTGAGAGACTCTGGAAGAAGGTCAGGAGGTTTGAGAGACTCTGGAAGAAGGTCAGGAGGTTTGAGAGGTATTTAGGAAGTTGAGGAAGTTTGAGAGGTCTTTGGGAAGTTGGAGAGGACCTGTCAAGGTTTTCAAGGTCTTTGAGGTCCTGATAATTGTTTGAGAGGCCTTTGAATAAGGTCAGGAGGTTTGAGAGGTCTTTAAGAAGTTGAGTAAGTTTGAGAGACCCTTGAAGAAGTTTGAGAGACCCTTGAAGAAGGTCAGGAGGTTTGAGAGGTCTTTGGGAAGTTGGAGAGGAGCTGTCAAGGTTTTCAAGGTCCTTGAGGTCCTTAAAGATGTGTGGGCTGTTACTCACATGAGTTTGACCCCAGGATCACGTGGAAGCATGGATCTGGATTCTGCTGTGATTCTATATACATGTTTCTGAAGAAGCAGAACCCCCCCCCATGACAGTGTTTTGTCTAAAGGTTTTGGTCTGTGCTGGTCCTCTGCAGGGGGTCTTGGTTCTGGTTGCTATAGTTACTCAGGTTCAATGACTCTCCAACAGACCTGGATCAAGGTCACATGGGAGGTTTGATTGGTTTTCTGCAGACTCTTGCTTGCTTCACATTTTGTATTCAACGCCTACTTTCAAAAACTTTCAAGCCCCCCCCCCCCCCCCTCACACTCTGTGTTTCAGAGTGAGCGATGTGAGGTCAGCTGTTTCATGTTATTAATATTCACACTGCAACCAGAGGGAGTTCATCTTAATTACTGACACACACACACACACACACACACACACACACACATGTGTACACACACACACACACACACACACACACCACACACACACACACACACACACACACACACACTCAGCGTGGGTAGATGCCCCCCTCCCCCTTCTTCCTCTTTTTCCTTTTTTTCTTTTCTTGCTCGGGCCGTCACCATGGCAACGACAAGAATGGGAGGAGGAGGGGGGCAGCAGAAGGGGATGGGGGTGTTACCATGGCAACAGCATTAGCCTGAGTGTGTGTGAGTGTGTGTGTGTGTGTGTGTGAGTGTTTGTGTGTGTATGTGAGTGTGAGTGTGTGTATGTGTATGTGTGAGTGTGTGTGTGTGTGTGTGTGTGTATGTGAGTGTGAGTGGGTGTGTGTGAGTGTGTGTATGTGTATGTGTGAGTGTGTGTGTGTGTGTGAGTGTGTGTATGTGTATGTGTGTGTGTGTGAGTGTGTGTATGTGAGTGTGAGTGTGTGTGTGAGTGTGTGTATGTGTATGTGTGAGTGTGTGTGTTTGTGTGTGTGTAAGTGTGTGTGTGTGTGAGTGTGTGTATGTGTATGTGTGAGTGTGTGTGTTTGTGTGTGTGTAAGTGTGTGTGTGTGTGTGTGTGTTGTGTATGTGAGTGTGTGTGTGTTTGTGTGTATGTGTATGTGTGTGTGTGTGTGTGTGTGTGTGTGTGTGTGTGTGTGTGTGTGTGTGTGTGTGTGTGTGTGTGTGTGTGTGTGTGCTCTCTGTCTCTGAATGAGATGAAAGTGTTTGCTGTGTTCCCGTACGCTGTAGTTTTCAGGGTGTCAGGTGAGTCCAGTCTTCACAGCAGATTCAGAAACACTGCTTTCATCTGATATAGCGTTAGCGTTAGCGTTAGCATAGTGATGCTAAGCTAAGACACTAGATAAGATAAGATAGTACTTTATTGACCCCAATTTGGAACATTTTTGTCACTAATGTGAGTGTGTTGCGCTAACGTAGCTACAACACACATTGACACGCTAATTAGTAACTAACCGCCTCCTGCTTCCTGCTTCCTGTTTCCATCGGCTTTCTTTCTTTCCTTTTTTCCCTTTTTTGTCTCTTTTCCCCTCGCTGGCGGTGACATCACAGAGGGGAGGGGATTCCTTCAGAGAGGTGAAGAGGGGGGAGGTAGAGAGAGAGAGAGAGAGAGAGAGAGAGAGAGAGAGAGAGAGAGAGAGAGAGAGAGAGAGAGAGAGAGCGAGAGAGCGGGGGAGGAACGAGGGATGACAGAGAGCGCTTCAGCTGCTCTCTCTTCTTCCCGTACTGCTTGGTTTCGGTGCTCCTGGTTCCTCTCCTCCCCCTAACAAAGGATTCCTCCCCCTCTCCCCCTGAGCGAGGGAGGGATGTGCTGAGCTGTCCGTCATGTCGGACGCTTCGTTAGGAAGGGACGGCTAACGAGCTTAACGAGCGTCTTCTTCTGCTGCTGCTGCTCGTTAATTATTCATCCGTCACTCCATCTCCATCCGTCCTTATGTAACAGCCTGCAGAGAGACAGACAGGCGAGAGACAGACAGGCGAGGGGGAGACAGGGGGAGATGTTTGTGTCCGTGTGGTACGCCAAGAAGATGGGAAGACGCTTCATCAACAACGTGAGGAAAGCTAAGAGACACAGGCAGAGGATGATGGTAGGAACCCGCTCACAGCGCTAATTAGCTCCCAGCAGCCTGATTGGCTCCAGGGGGAGGGGCCAATCAGGCTGTAATGGGGACAGAGTCTCTTCTCTGATTGGATGAACCGTGTCTCCAAAATGATCTTAAGGTGCCAGCCGTTGTGTTGTGTCGTAGGTCAAAGGTCGTGTGGATGGTCGGCTGAGTTCACCCGATATAGCTAATGCTAGCTACTGTTAGCGTCCTCTGAAGCTCATTATTTCTGGTTGATTAGCTTTGATGGTTTGTTTAACTCAAAGTAACTCCAGATGTTTTTATTTGACTTACGTTAGCTTCCTGTTAGCTTAGTTTCACAACAATGAGAAGCCACGACAGGATGCTGGCTTCTCATTGTTGACTTTATTAAACTATCAGACTGTTAGCGTCAAATTTAGTGAAAAACAAGACTTGAGCGTTTCATGTATAAAATAACTATTAGCATTGACATTAGTAAGCTACTGATCTGTTAGCACGTAATTAAGAAAATGAGCGTGCCACTAAACTGCTAGCGTTTATAAGCAACATGACTGTTAGCTTCCACTGAAGCTAGGCTACTAGCTTCTTGTATTTGACATTAGCTACAACATCCTTCTTTCTGTTGACTTTAGAAAACTAACACTGACTGTTAGCGTGGAATTTGCGGAGCTACTAGGCTATTAGCATGACATTAGTAGGATACTAAATTGTAAGCGAAATGACTGTTAGCTTCCACTGAAGCTAGGCTAACTACATGTATTTGACGTCCAGCATCTGTCGTTGTTTATTTAGCTGTAGATGTTTATATTTGACTGATGTTAGCTTCATGCTAGCGTATGGCTTCTATTGTTGGTTTTGGTAAATTGCTAAGTTAGTTAGCAGCTACAGACTTTAAATACTCTTCTCCTTCAGTCAGAGAGCTGTCGGGGGAAATGAGGAAGACTTTAATTAATTCAGAGTGAGCTGTTGTATAACACTGAAGCTGCTCAGAACACGGATTCAGCTCTTCATGGTTTCCACCGTCTGCAGGCTTTTATTGGAAATGATAGATCGTCCTTCTGGTGACAAATACATTCAAAAAGGAGATTTACAAATACTCAGTTTCCAGTCCCTTAAGTGGACCTGCTGTCCCCGCAGGAGATACGCTCTTAGTTTGAGATTCATTGAAATGTTTATGGTGTTTTCTTGGCTTTTTGTGCGTTGAAAATCCTGATTGTGTTAACCCTTAAATGGTGTCTGTGTCCTGGGGGTCATGCAGTGTCCATGTGTAAGACAGGTGTAATAACATGGGTGTAATATTGGTATAATAGGGGTGTAACATGGGTGTAATATTGGTATAATAGGGGTGTAACATGGGTGTAATATTGGTATAATAGGGGTGTAACATGGATGTAATATTGGTATAATAGGGGTGTAACATGGGTGTAATATTGGTATAATAGGGGTGTAACATGGGTGTAATATTGGTATAATAGGGGTGTAACATGGGTGTAATATTGGTATAATAGGGGTGTAACATGGGTGTAATATTGGTATAATAGGGGTGTAACATGGGTGTAATATTGGTATAATAGGGGTGTAACATGGGTGTAATATTGGTATAATAGGGGTGTAACATGGGTGTAATATTGGTATAATAGGGGTGTAACATGGATGTAATATTGGTATAATAGGGGTGTAACATGGATGTAATATTGGTATAATAGGGGTGTAACATGGGTGTAATATTGGTGTTATACAGCTGTAATAATTTGGGTGTAACATCCAAATTGTGATTGCCCATTGAATGGTTCGAGATAACCCTATGCATGAGGTTGTGACCTAAGAAATGCTTTTATTTTGAAATTCCATGAAATATGTTAATGGTATTTTGATATTTGATGAACCTGACAGTGTGTCGTCAGAACGTGGTATAATCACAGTTATATCACATTAATATGTGTATTATTAAAGGTATATATTAATACATGGAGTATATTAGATGTTATTAATGTAGTGAGCTCTATAGTGTATTATATATATATATTAGATATTATTAATGTAGTGCGCTCTATAGTGTATTATATATATATATATATTAGATATTATTAATGTAGTGCGCTCTATAGTGTATTATATATATATATATATTAGATATTATTGAGCTCTGACCACAGACTTCTACAGGAAGTGATGTAAGACACTAAAGAGAGAGAGGAGGTGGTTGCCGTGGCGACGGTCCCAGTTGCCGAGGTAACCGGCCCCCTGAGGGCTCGACAGCTGTTGCCATGGCGTTGCCATGGAGACGGGCAGTTAGCAGCACAGGAGCCGATTTTAAAATAAATAAATAATAACAAAATGTTTTTGTGTTTTTTCAGATGAACGGATCCGAGGGAGAGCTGGAGTACGAGGAGATCACTTTGGAGAGGGTGAGACAGACCATAATATACCATCATATACCATAATATACCATAATATATCATAATATACCATAATATACCATCATATATACTGTAATACACACTAATATCTAATAACAAACACACTGTGTATATCTGCCCGATGAACCCACAATAACCTGCTTTGATTTAATCACAATTAACTAAAGCAGAATCACCTGCACCTAAAAGGTGTATTATTGAGCAAACGAGCTAATGGGCTAACGAGCTAACGAGCTAACAGCTAACAGCTTCAAATCCCCTGTTTGGTTGATCAGAGCTAAGCTAACATGTAGCCGCTGCATCATCACTCAAAATAACTAAGTGCTCTGAATGATACATGAATACCTTTACACACACACACACACACACACACACACACACACACACACACACACACACACACACACACACACACACACACACACACACACACACACACACAGACGCTGAGTTATTTGTGTTGGGGCTGATTTCAGACTCAGATATAAAGTCTGACAGCAGAGTTATTTTTATCGTGCCGCTGGTTATTTTTGAAAACCTCTCAGAAATCAAAGTGCTGAACTTTAACCTGACGCTCACTGCTGTTTCTGCATGGAAACACAATCAGTATTAATGTTGTGTTGCTGTTGGGGTGTATTAATGTTGTGTTGCTGTTAGGGTGTATTAATGTTGTGTTGCTGTTACGGTGTATTAATGTTGTGTTGCTGTTAGGGTGTATTAATGTTGTGTTGCTGTTAGGGTGTATTAATGTTGTGTTGCTGTTACGGTGTATTAATGTTGTGTTGCTGTTAGGGTGTATTAATGTTGTGTTGCTGTTACGGTGTATAATGTTGTGTTGCTGTTAGGGTGTAATGTTGTGTTGCTGTTACGGTGTATAATGTTGGTTGCTGTTAGGGTGTATTAATGTTGTGTTGCTGTTACGGTGTATTAATGTGTGTTGCTGTTAGGTTGTATTAATGTTGTGTTGCTGTTAGGGGTGTATTAATGTTTGTGGCTGTTAAGGTGGTGTATGTATAATGTTGGGTTGCTGTTAGGGTGTACTAATGTTGTGTTGCTGTTAGGGGTTTACTAATGTTGTGTTGCTGTTAGGGGTACTAATGTTGTGTTGCTGTTACAGTGTACTAATGTTGTGTTGTGTACGGTTGTACTAATGTTGTGTTGCTGTTACGGTGTACTAATGTTGTGTTGCTGTTAGGGTGTACTAATGTTGTGTTGCTGTTACGGTGTACTAATGTTGTGTTGCTGTTACGGTGTACTAATGTTGTGTTGCTGTTACGGTGTACTAATGTTGTGTTGCTGTTAGGGTGTACTAATGTTGTGTTGCTGTTACGGTGTACTAATGTTGTGTTGCTGTTACGGTGTACTAATGTTGTGTTGCTGTTACGGTGTACTAATGTTGTGTTGCTGTTACGGTGTACTAATGTTGTGTTGCTGTTAGGGTGTATTAATGTTGTGTTGCTGTTAGGGTGTACTAATGTTGTGTTGCTGTTAGGGTGTACTAATGTTGTGTTGCTGTTACGGTGTACTAATGTTGTGTTGCTGTTACAGTGTACTAATGTTGTGTTGCTGTTACGGTGTACTAATGTTGTGTTGCTGTTACGGTGTACTAATGTTGTGTTGCTGTTACGGTGTACTAATGTTGTGTTGCTGTTACGGTGTACTAATGTTGTGTTGCTGTTACAGTGTATTAATGTTGTGTTGCTGTTACGGTGTACTAATGTTGTGTTGCTGTTACAGTGTACTAATGTTGTGTTGCTGTTACGGTGTACTAATGTTGTGTTGCTGTTACAGTGTACTAATGTTGTGTTGCTGTTACGGTGTACTAATGTTGTGTTGCTGTTAGGGTGTACTAATGTTGTGTTGCTGTTAGGGTGTACTAATGTGGTGTTGCTGTTACGGTGTACTAATGTTGTGTTGCTGTTACAGTGTATTAATGTTGTGTTGCTGTTACGGTGTATTAATGTTGTGTTGCTGTTACAGTGTATTAATGTTGTGTTGCTGTTACAGTGTACTAATGTTGTGTTGCTGTTAGGGTGTACTAATGTTGTGTTGCTGTTACGGTGTATTAATGTTGTGTTGCTGTTACGGTGTACTAATGTTGTGTTGCTGTTACGGTGTACTAATGTTGTGTTGCTGTTACAGTGTACTAATGTTGTGTTGCTGTTACGGTGTACTAATGTTGTGTTGCTGTTAGGGTGTATTAATGTTGTGTTGCTGTTACGGTGTACTAATGTTGTGTTGCTGTTACAGTGTATTAATGTTGTGTTGCTGTTACGGTTGTACTAATGTTGTGTTGCTGTTACGGTGTACTAATGTTGTGTTGCTGTTACGGTGTACTAATGTTGTGTTGCTGTTACAGTGTATTAATACAGTGTATTAATGTTGTGTTGCTGTTACGGTGTATTAATGTTGTGTTGCTGTTACAGTGTATTAATACAGTGTATTAATGTTGTGTTGCTGTTACGGTGTATTAATGTTGTGTTGCTGTTACAGTGTATTAATGTTGTGTTGCTGTTACAGTGTACTAATGTTGTGTTGCTGTTAGGGTGTACTAATGTTGTGTTGCTGTTACGGTGTACTAATGTTGTGTTGCTGTTACAGTGTACTAATGTTGTGTTGCTGTTACGGTGTACTAATGTTGTGTTGCTGTTACGGTGTACTAATGTTGTGTTGCTGTTAGGGTGTATTAATGTTGTGTTGCTGTTACAGTGTATTAATGTTGTGTTGCTGTTACGGTGTATTAATGTTGTGTTGCTGTTACAGTGTATTAATGTTGTGTTGCTGTTACAGTGTACTAATGTTGTGTTGCTGTTAGGGTGTACTAATGTTGTGTTGCTGTTACGGTGTATTAATGTTGTGTTGCTGTTACGGTGTATTAATGTTGTGTTGCTGTTAGGGTGTATTAATGTTGTGTTGCTGTTACGGTGTATTAATGTTGTGTTGCTGTTAGGGTGTACTAATGTTGTGTTGCTGTTACGGTGTATTAATGTTGTGTTGCTGTTACGGTGTATTAATGTTGTGTTGCTGTTAGGGTGTACTAATGTTGTGTTGCTGTTACGGTGTATTAATGTTGTGTTGCTGTTAGGGTGTACTAATGTTGTGTTGCTGTTACGGTGTATTAATGTTGTGTTGCTGTTAGGGTGTACTAATGTTGTGTTGCTGTTACAGTGTATTAATGTTGTGTTGCTGTTACGGTGTATTAATGTTGTGTTGCTGTTACGGTGTACTAATGTTGTGTTGCTGTTAGGGTGTATTAATGTTGTGTTGCTGTTAGGGTGTATTAATGTTGTGTTGCTGTTAGGCTGTATTAATGTTGTGTTGCTGTTAGGGTGTACTAATGTTGTGTTACTGTTACAGTGTATTAATGTTGTGTTGCTGTTACGGTGTATTAATGTTGTGTTGCTGTTAGGGTGTATTAATGTTGTGTTGCTGTTAGGGTGTACTAATGTTGTGTTGCTGTTACAGTGTATTAATGTTGTGTTGCTGTTACGGTGTACTAATGTTGTGTTGCTGTTACAGTGTACTAATGTTGTGTTGCTGTTACAGTGTATTAATGTTGTGTTGCTGTTACGGTGTACTAATGTTGTGTTGCTGTTAGGGTGTATTAATGTTGTGTTGCTGTTAGGGTGTACTAATGTTGTGTTGCTGTTACAGTGTATTAATGTTGTGTTGCTGTTACGGTGTACTAATGTTGTGTTGCTGTTACAGTGTATTAATGTTGTGTTGCTGTTACGGTGTATTAATGTTGTGTTGCTGTTAGGGTGTATTAATGTTGTGTTGCTGTTAGGGTGTACTAATGTTGTGTTGCTGTTACAGTGTATTAATGTTGTGTTGCTGTTACGGTGTACTAATGTTGTGTTGCTGTTAGGGTGTACTAATGTTGTGTTGCTGTTACAGTGTATTAATGTTGTGTTGCTGTTACGGTGTACTAATGTTGTGTTGCTGTTACAGTGTACTAATGTTGTGTTGCTGTTACAGTGTACTAATGTTGTGTTGCTGTTACGGTGTACTAATGTTGTGTTGCTGTCACGGTGTACTAATGTTGTGTTGCTGTTACAGTGTACTAATGTTGTGTTGCTGTTACAGTGTATTAATGTTGTGTTGCTGTTACAGTGTACTAATGTTGTGTTGCTGTTACAGTGTATTAATGTTGTGTTGCTGTTACGGTGTATTAATGTTGTGTTGCTGTTAGGGTGTATTAATGTTGTGTTGCTGTTAGGGTGTACTAATGTTGTGTTGCTGTTACAGTGTATTAATGTTGTGTTGCTGTCACGGTGTACTAATGTTGTGTTGCTGTTAGGGTGTACTAATGTTGTGTTGCTGTTACAGTGTATTAATGTTGTGTTACTGTTACGGTGTATTAATGTTGTGTTACTGTTACAGTGTACTAATGTTGTGTTGCTGTTACGGTGTACTAATGTTGTGTTGCTGTTAGGGTGTATTAATGTTGTGTTGCTGTTAGGGTGTACTAATGTTGTGTTGCTGTTACGGTGTATTAATGTTGTGTTACTGTTACAGTGTATTAAGTTGTGTTGCTGTTAGGGGTACTATGTTGTGTTGCTGTTAGGGTGTACTAATGTTGTGTGCTGTTACAGTGTATTAATGTTGTGGTTGCTGTTACAGGTATTAATGTTGTGTTGCTGTTACGGTGTACTAATGTTGTGTTGCTGTTAGGGTGTACTAATTGTGTGTTGCTGTTACAGTGTATTAATGTTGGTTACTGTTACAGTGTATTAATGTGTGTTGCTGTAGGGTGTACTAATGGTTGTGTTGCTGTTACAGTGTATTAATGTTGTGTTGCTGTTACGGTGTACTAATGTTGTGTTGCTGTTAGGGGTGTACTAATGTTGTGTTGCTGTTAGGGTGTACTAATGTTGTGTTGCTGTTACGGTGTACTAATGTTGTGTTGCTGTTACGGTGTATTAATGTTGTGTTGCTGTTAGGGTGTACTAATGTTGTGTTGCTGTTACGGTGTATTAATGTTGTGTTACTGTTACAGTGTATTAATGTTGTGTTGCTGTTAGGGTGTACTAATGTTGTGTTGCTGTTAGGGTGTACTAATGTTGTGTTGCTGTTACAGTGTACTAATGTTGTGTTGCTGTTACAGTGTACTATTGTTGTGTTGCTGTTACGGTGTACTAATGTTGTGTTGTGTTCAGGGAAACTCTGGTCTGGGCTTCAGTATCGCAGGAGGGACCGATAACCCTCACATTGGAGACGACCCGTCCATCTTCATCACTAAGATCATCCCGGGAGGAGCCGCCGCTCAGGACGGCCGCCTGCGGTACGCCTGTTCTTTACCTGTTCTTTACCTGTCAATCATCCTGCTGACAACTAGACGCACTGTTAGCTACGCTCAAAGGCTAACGTTGTCTTTGTTTGTTAGTATCACAACAAACAGGTTATACATGCTAACTTAACGTAGAGCCTTTTCTGAACAATACATTGTTTTTCTTTTTGACCTCATGAAGAGTTTGTGTAGTCAACACTATTTTAAACTTTGGTACTTGATTCACGGAATGAACAGAATGACCTGTTAGTTATCCCTCTCTAATCCTAGCATTTCCTTTTCCTTAAAGTAACTACAGAAACCTGCAAACCTTTTCCAGTCGGACGGATTGTGTTTGTAGCTTTTTGTAGCTCAATGCTAGGAGACGGCTTTGTTTCCACATTGACCTGCTTCCCCCCTGATCCTGACCTGAGGATCCTTCCTGTCTGCAGGGTGAACGACAGCATAGTGTTCGTGAATGACGTGGACGTGCGCGAGGTGACGCACTCCCTGGCCGTGGAGGCCCTGAAGGAGGCGGGGCCGGTGGTGCGGCTGTACGTCCTGCGGCGGCGCCCGGCCAGCGAACGCATCACGCAGATCAAACTGATGAAGGGCCCCAAAGGTAGGCAGGAAGTGACCTTTGACCTGCACAGGTGGGAAGAAGTGGAGTACAAATACTTAGTTACTGTACTTAAGTACATGTTTCTGGTATCAGTACTTTACTCCACTACTTATTTTCATGACGACTTTTTACTTTTACTTCTTACATTTTGAACACAAATACCTGTACTTTCTACTTCTTACATTTTGAACACAAATACCTGTACTTTCTACTTCTCACATTTAGAACACAAATACCTGTACTTTCTACTTCTTACATGTTGAACCCAAATACCTGTACTTTCTACTTCTTACATTTTGAACACAAATACCTGTACTTCTTACATTTTCCAAACAGGGTGGTTCCTTTAGTTTGAATGTCTGTTTGGTGGCGTGATCATTATTCTTTAGAGTCATTGCGTGCCTATTGATTTGAACACGATCCGTGTATCCATAATTTCCTGGTCTTCTCTAAAGAAGAGGGACCAATGAAAACGTTGTCATGTTGTTGTTGTTCAGCATGGAAACATTCATTAGCTAACAATGATATTGTTGTCTGATTTTCTAAAAAATCTGACTTTTTCTCAAAAATCTGACTATTTCTCAAAGATCTGACTATTTCTTAAAAATCTGACTTTCTCAAAAATCTCAAAAATCAGACATTTTCTCAAAAATCAGCCTTTTTCTCAAAAATCAGCCTTTTTCTCAAAAATCAGCCTTTTTCTCAAAAATCAGCCTTTTTCTCAAATATCAGACTTTTTCTCAAATATTTGACTTTTTCTCAAATATCAGACTTTTTCTCAAAAATCTAAAAAAAATCTGACTTTTTCTCAAAAAATCTAAAAAAATCTGACTTTTTCTCAAAATCTCGACTTTTTCTCAAAATCTCGATTTTTTCTAAAAATCTCAACATTTCTCTTTTTTTCTGACTTTTTCACAAAATCTCAAAAATCTGACTTTCAATCTCAGGATCCATGTATGTGTGATCCTCTCCAGAATGGAAGGAGTCATCACATACAGAGCATCAACTAGTTCCTGAACAGTGTCCTTCACATGCTGATATCCAAGAGAGGGAGTTACACAGTCACAAGATGGAGGAATAGAAAGCAGTATTCAATGTTTACTTCAGATTAGCTCCACGTCAGAAATGAGCATGCTTGTCATATGTCTATCTCCATAGAGGCTGAATCATCATGTTAATCACATAGCTATCATATGCCTCAAACAGTCCTGATGCTCTTCTAGGTAATCACACATCCTGTCATGTACACAGCTACAGTTGGGATACCTTAGTTAGCATGTTACTCTCATGTTGGAGGAGGACACTCAGTGTTCCCCAACACCTCCAGCTGATGGTTCCTGTTTCTAACGGCCTGCAGGTCTGGGCTTCAGCATCGCGGGCGGAGCAGGAAACCAACACGTCCCGGGAGACAACAGCATCTACGTCACTAAGATCATCGAGGGGGGGGGCGGCACACCGAGACGGACGCCTGCAGATCGGGGACAAGATACTGGCGGTACGTAAATATAAATATATAATATCTATAATATATATTCACCTCCGGCTCTTGGAGCTTCAAAGAGCCTCTATTTATAGAAATGACCTGTTTGACCTCTGACCCCCAGGTGAACCACGTGTCCCTGGAGGACGGGCTTCACTATAAATGACCTGTTTGACCTGTTTGACCTGTTTGACCTCTGACCTCCAGGTGAACCACGTGTCCCTGGAGGACGTGCTTCACTAGAAATGACCTGTATGACCTCTGACCTCCAGGTGAACCACGTGTCCCTGGAGGACGTGCTTCACTAGAAATGACCTGTTTGACCTGTTTGACCTCTGACCTCCAGGTGAACCACGTGTCCCTGGAGGACGTGCTTCACTAGAAATGACCTGTGTGACCTCTGACCTCCAGGTGAACCATGTGTCCCTGGAGGACGTGCTTCACTACAAATGACCTGTGTGACCTGTTTGACCTCTGACCTCCAGGTGAACCACGTGTCCCTGGAGGACGTGCTTCACTATAAATGACCTGTGTGACCTGTTTGACCTCTGACCTCCAGGTGAACCACGTGTCCCTGGAGGACGTGCTTCACTATAAATGACCTGTGTGACCTGTTTGACCTCTGACCTTCAGGTGAACCACGTGTCCCTGGAGGACGTGCTTCACGAGGACGCGGTGGTGGCTCTGAAGAACACGGGCGAGGTGGTGTACCTGAAGGTTTCCACGCCCAACGCCCAGTACATCCAACAGGCCGACAGATACAGCCCCCCCGACCTCACCAGCTGTACGTACACTTCCTGTTTCACACAGTCGTACACTTCCTGTTTCACACAGTCGTACACTTCCTGTTTCACACAGTCGTACACTTCCTGTTTCACACAGTCGTACACTTCCTGTTTCACACAGTCGTGGGTTTCAGTGTGAAGGGTCGTGCCGTGGATCCGATGAAACACTCACAACATGAAATGAGTTAGTTTTCCAAATCCTGCTGTGACCTTCTTCTTTGAACCCACTTCTCAAGGTCATCGTTGGCTGATCTAGAAACTGTTGACATTCATTAATGTGATCGTGTTTATTCATTGTTGTTATTGTTTATACTCAGCCTACATGGAGCCGGACTACCTGTGTGATTACCCAGAAGCCCCTCTGTCTCCGCGCCAGTACTCCCCCGTGCCCCGGTGCATGCTGGGAGAAGAGGAGTCCTCGCGGGAGCCTCGGCGCGTGGGGGTGCAGCGGGGGGGCAGCGGCCTGGGGTTCAACATCGTGGGGGGGGAGGACGGGGAGGGCATCTTCATCTCCTTCATCCTCTCTGGAGGACCAGCTGATCTGAGCGGGGAGCTGAGGAAGGGGGACCAGATCCTCAGCGTGAGTACAGGAAGTGACCTCATAGAGACAGGAAGTGACCTCATAGAGACAGGAAGTGACCTCATAGAGAGAGGAAGTTACATCATAGAGAGGGAGGGGGACCAGATCCTCAGCGTGAGTACAGGAAGTGACCTCATAGAGACAGGAAGTTACATCATAGAGAGGGAGGGGGACCAGATCCTCAGCGTGAGTACAGGAAGTGACCTCATAGAGACAGGAAGTTACATCATAGAGAGGAAGGGGGACCAGATCCTCAGCGTGAGTACAGGAAGTGACCTCATAGAGACAGGAAGTTACATCATAGAGAGGGAGGGGCACCAGATCCTGAGCTTCAGTACAGGAAGTGACCTCATAGAGACAGGAAGTTACATCATAGAGAGGGAGGGGCTCCAGATCCTGAGCTTCAGTACAGGAAGTGACCTCATAGAGACAGGAAGTTACATCATAGAGAGGGAGGGGGACCAGATCATGAGCTTCAGTACAGGAAGTGACCTCATAGAGACAGGAAGTGACCTCACAGAGACAGGAAGGGACCTCTCAGAGACAGGAAGTGACCTCTCAGAGACAGGAAGTGACCTCTCAGAAACAGGAAGTGACCTCACAGAGACAGGAAGTGACCTCACTGAGACAGGAAGTGACCTCAGTGTGTGGATCTCCTCAGACTGAAGCTGGATGTTGTTTTGTTCCAGGTGAACGGCGTGGATCTCAGGTTTGCGACTCATGAACAGGCAGCCGCCGCTCTGAAGAACGCCGGACAGACGGTCACCATCGTGGCTCAGTACAGACCAGAGGGTGAGACACACACAGAAAGGTATATATATAAAGAGATGTAATATAATGTTAATGATGGTCTGTGTGTGCAGAGTACAGCCGCTTCGAGGCGAAGATCCACGACCTGAGGGAGCAGATGATGAACAGCTCGTCAGGAAGTCTGAGGGTCAACCGCAGCTTCTACCTCCGGTACCACATACATTCACATCATATAACTTACATAATACAAACTTAACGAGTCAGGAAATCTGTGTTTGGTAGATTTGTTCTTTGTTGTAACAAAACTTCTCTAAATCGTATACCGTTGGAAAGCCTGTTTAGTTTCTTAGCAGAGGAGATTTCACAACTCCGTTCTGCTCATCGCTCAGATGCGTGTTCCTCACCGTTTGAAGGTCAGAAAACAGGCCAAACACAGATTCCCTTACTCTCCGTGTTCAGTTGATGTAATAAAGAGGCGTATTGAAGGCAGTGCTGTGTCTCAGGGCGCTGTTTGACTACGATAAGCAGTGGGACTGTGGAGTCCTGTCTCAGGCGCTGGACTTCAGCTTCGGAGACGTGGTCCACGTGACGGACAGCAGCGACGACGAATGGTGGCAGGCCAGGAGGGTGAGCCCGGGGGGGGAGCCTGAGGAGACCGGGTACATCCCCTCCAAACACAGGTAACATACCTCTAACACAGGTAGCATACCTACATCACAGGTAACATACCTCCATCACAGGTAACATACATCCATCACAGGTAACATACCTCCATCACAGGTAGCATACCTCCATCACAGGTAACATACCTCCATCACAGGTAGCATACATCCATCACAGGTAACATACATCCAACACAGGTAACATACATCCATCACAGGTAACATACATCCAACACAGGTAGCATACATCCATCACAGGTAACATACATCCATCACAGGTAACATACATCCATCACAGGTAACATACATCCATCACAGGTAACATACCTCCAACACAGGTAACATACCTCCATCACAGGTAGCATACCTCCATCACAGGTAACATACCTCCATCACAGGTAACATACCTCCATCACAGGTAACATACATCCATCACAGGTAACATACATCCATCACAGGTAACATACCTCCATCACAGGTAGCATACATCCATCACAGGTAACATACATCCATCACAGGTAACATACATCCATCACAGGTAACATACCTCCATCACAGGTAACATACCACCATCACAGGTAACATACCTCCATCACAGGTAGCATACCTCCATCACAGGTAACATACCACCATCACAGGTAACATACCACCATCACAGGTAACATACCTCCATCACAGGTAACATACCTCCATCACAGGTAACATACCACCATCACAGGTAACATACCACCATCACAGGTAACATACCTCCATCACAGGTAGCATACCTCCATCACAGGTAGCATACCACCATCACAGGTAACATACCACCATCACAGGTAACATACCTCCATCACAGGTAACATACCTCCATCACAGGTAACATACCACCATCACAGGTAACATACCTCCATCACAGGTAGCATACCTCCATCACAGGTAACATACCTCCATCACAGGTAACATACATCCAACACATGTAACATACCACCATCACAGGTAACATACCTCCATCACAGGTAGCATACCTCCATCACAGGTAACATACCACCATCACAGGTAACATACCACCATCACAGGTAACATACCTCCATCACAGGTAGCATACATCCAACACATGTAACATACCACCATCACAGGTAACATACCTCCATCACAGGTAGCATACATCCAACACATGTAACATACCTCCATCACAGGTAACATACCTCCATCACAGGTAACATACCACCATCACAGGTAACATACCTCCATCACAGGTAACATACCTCCATCACAGGTAACATACCTCCATCACAGGTAACATACCTCCATCACAGGTAACATACCTCCATCACAGGTAACATACCTCCATCACAGGTAACATACATCCATCACAGGTAACATACCTCCATCACAGGTAGCATACCACCATCACAGGTAACATTCCTACATCACAGGTAACATACCTACATCACAGGTAACATACCTCCATCACAGGTAGCATACCACCATCACAGGTAGCATACCACCATCACAGGTAACATTCCTACATCACAGGTAACATACCTACATCACAGGTAACATACCACCATCACAGGTAACATACCTCCATCGCAGGTAACATACCTACATCACAGGTAGCATACCACCATCACAGGTAACATACCTCCATCACAGGTAACATACCTCCATCACAGGTAACATTCCTACATCACAGGTAGCATACCACCATCACAGGTAACATACCTACATCACAGGTAACATACCTCCATCACAGGTAGCATACCACCATCACAGGTAACATACATCCATCACAGGTAAAATACCTCCATCACAGGTAACATACCTCCATCACAGGTAACATACCTCCATCACAGGTAACATACCTCCATCACAGGTAACATACCTACATCACAGGTAGCATACCTCCATCACAGGTAGCATACCACCATCACAGGTAACATACCTCCATCACAGGTAACATACCTCCATCACAGGTAGCATACCACCATCACAGGTAACATACCTCCATCACAGGTAACATACCTCCATCACAGGTAACATACCTCCATCACAGGTAACATACCTCCATCACAGGTAACATACCTCCATCACAGGTAACATACCTCCATCACAGGTAACATACCTCCATCACAGGTAACATACCTCCATCACAGGTAGCATACATCCATCACAGGTAACATACATCCATCACAGGTAACATACCTCCATCACAGGTAACATACCTCCATCACAGGTAACATACCTCCATCACATGTAACATACCTCCATCACAGGTAACATACATCCATCACAGGTAACATACCTCCATCACAGGTAACATACCTCCATCACAGGTAACATTCATGACTGAAGCGTTCGTCACACATGATGCGTTCAGGGACCGTCAGAAAGATTGTATTTCCCGTGTTCCTGGAGTAACCCTGGTGTTCGTTTCAGGGTGGAGAGGAAGGAGTGGTC